GGCTGGTCCCTTGAGGTTTGTCTCTTTAAGTTGGAGTCAAACATTTTGACTTTCTTAATATGATAGTTTAATTTGTTTGTGAAAGAAAAGTCTATTAGCCATTGCTAATACCCAAAAAAGATTTATGTTTCTTCGTTTCATTAACCGCTACTCCATACATAGAAGAATGAGTAACACAATTTATGGTTAAATTAGGTCTATTTTGTAACCGTCTTTTGTCTGTTGGGCCCAAAGCCAAAGCCCACTTTGTGGGATGAATAAAATTTACTTCCTCTGTTTCACAAAGATTATTCTAGATTTTATTTTTATTTCATAAAGAGTGTCATTCTACATTTTCAATGTAATTTTTATACTAAATTTCTAGATTTACCATAAACCTAAAGCTACACTTTTATTAAATTTAAAGAATTAATTTCTTATTAAATAGCGGCATATATATGTATAATTCAAGCTTTTCTTAATTCGTGTATAATGTCTCAAAATGACACTCTTTGTAAAACGGAAAGAGTAATTTTAAAAAATAATTTATGTTTATTCGATAGTGAGGTGCTTTGTTAATCTATTGATTGTGTTCAATCGAAGTATTGAACAATCAATCGAAGTATTGATAAAATTTATTTTACTTTTCAACCATCTTTTGCCCGTAAAATTATTCAAGGACAACGTGACCATAGGACACAAAGAGGAGTATTCGATGGTTTTTATTTTATTTTCTAAGGAGTACAAGATGTGTTAATATTATTGATTTTGCCGACTATTGAAATTGACGTTAATATAACTAAAATTATTTTTAAATATGTGGCGTGAGAAATACAAAGATGCAAGAAAACGGAAAGAAAAAATAACGAGAGAGAAGCTAACGGCGTGTAACAGGAAATTGTAATAGTGGAAATTAGGTCCCACATTTGTCTTCATTTAATTTGAATATAAATTATTCAAATTTAAATTTGTCAAGAAAAGTCAAGTTGGTTTGTACGGTATGACACGTAAGAAAACGGAAAGAAAAAAAAAGGTGGGAGTGGGTAGGTTATCCTGTACGACTGTACCGTACGGACTTTTTCTTCACTCATTCATTTTATATTTATTAATTCCCCTCCCCAAAACTCCTTTCACGTGACTGACTGACTACACACACATTCCCACTTTTTATTATCATAATCCAATGTTTTATGAATTTATGACTATACGATTAGCAAATTCTAAAACTAGCCGCGTCTAATTTTTATTATTATTAGTATAAGACAATAACTAAATATGAAAGTAAGATTAAGATTAACACCAAGTAACTACATTCGAAGAGAGCAAATGTTAATATGTACTTATATGGAAGCGGTGACATCCCTACTTATATCCATATTCTTCATTAAATGATGCAATAGCGCGTAACGCGTTATACAGCTAAACCCAATCAGAGTGAAGTTTCAAGCTATTGACGTGTTTCTCAATCATTGAAGTGTAATTGGTTCTTAATAACCTTTGCCGTTGGAGGAATATTCTCTTCTCTATCTGTGTTTTTTTGCATAATAATTTAATATATGTATAATCAGCTGTCTTAACTATTTCCTTAATCATATCATTGATCATCCTTTTCCTTTCTCTTCTTATTTTATTTTTTGTATTTGAGCATCAGATGCTTGTTTCTATGCTTATGTTTAATTTTTTTATGTACCTGTTTATGTTCATTATTTAATATTCCTCGAAATGTAGTACTTCATTATTATAATCAAATATCAATGACTAACGACCATTTAGAAATGTAACCGATTCTTTGCATGATAACAACAACTCAGAAATTAGGTAATTTAGATAATATGATTCTAGCAATCTTTAATTATAAATTATTGTATTAAATGCCTAGGTGTGGATTTTCTACTAAAGCAATATGAACAGATCTATAGTTACTAAATACTGCATGAATTAAGTTGTTGTTTCCGATTGGTATGTATATAAGTTTATGATTTATCCAAACTTTAATTAGTGAGGATATTGAAAATGGCCGACTACGTTTAATGGAAAAACGTTTATGACTACTTTCATTAAGTTTGCATTAAAATGTAAAAACGTTTATTTTTTCTTTGAATATAATTTAACATTAGATTCAAAAAAAAAAGAAAATGGCCGAATACGTGACGGTTGGACACTTCCAATTCCACAAGAAATCAATAAAATCATAAACGTATTTTGAAACATATAAGAGAGGAGTTCCACAGAAATTTGAGAAAAGGAGTCGTAAGGGAATTAATCACTTGAGAGTTTGTTATACTTTTGTAAACACTCCATCCACCTTAACTAGTTGCTTCTTTAATTTGCTTGTATTGTTTCCTTTTAAATCAAGTATATATCTAACAAATCAAACTAGTTAATAATGAATTAGAATCTAATGAATATCATCGAGTTGATATTCTAGTTATGGTAAAACTTGAGACCAAGTAGGAATTCAAAATTACTAAATTGGATGAAACATACCAAAGATGCATGGCAGTATATAATAATATAGATGGCTGTTAGTACGTGACTACTTTAATTTGATTAATCCATATGATATAGTTATATGTATGTATACATCATAATAAAGTTAAGAGGCTAAAGGGGTCTAAAGTTGTAACCCCCAAGATAAGTTAGGGGGCAGACACTTTTGAAAACCAGAGAAAATTAGGTCACATCATCATATCTTTGTCTTTAAAGTTTTAACCTTTACAGAATGAAGAATGATCCTTCAACAATTCTGCTTTACTTTTTCTTTCTCTAGCTCTAACACACGCGCACACACACACATGGTGATGTTCCTTCATGATATACACGCGCTGCATGTATAATACAATTCCACAATTTTTTTTAAAGACTATATAAAATGGGAAGAGATGTATAATCAAATCACAAAACTGAAATGAGTATTAGATTGGCTAATATCAGTTTTTAAAGTCCCATGATAACCCTATATTTAATTTGTCAGGATATATCCAAGGTTTGATTACGTTTTGCATAGTCGGATGCTTCTTCTAGAGGTTACAACTTACAACTTACAAGTTATCTATTATCAACATTAATTGGTATAGTCAATCGTCACTTATGAAGTTTGATTCAATCAAGCATGCAACTATTTTTGTAGTCTATGAATTAATGATATCACTCTTCTATCCTTGAATGGCTTGTGTTTATATTGTGACGGTGATAGATTTTATGTTTACACAATGAAAACGATAATTTGTTAAGTTTTTAATTAGTTATAATTTAAAAAATAATAGATACTATAGTGATAAAATCTTTTTTTAAAATACATTACATAATGGAAACTTACAAGTAACTTACATCTTGACATCTTGTTCGTTTTAGTTTTCAATGATGGTTACGTGAGGATATGAATATGACCAGAAGAAACCAAAATGAATATTGAAGTCTTTTAAGTCGTTGAGGGTGAGTATGGACTATTTGAAATAATCTTACTGGTTCAAAAACAATTCATAATATTACACAAATGGTTCATATTTAATCACTTGGTCCAAATTCTAGAAGCCTTTAATCCCATTTTTTTGGGGTCAACAGAAGTTGAAGCTCCACATTTTGTTTTGTAATATTTCCATCCAGAATAATTTGTATTTTATTTATTTTTAAATCCAGCCTATATATTAGACTTTGTTACCAGATTCTGAAGGCATCATTTATTCCTACCAGATATGGAGATTTAAGACTTAGGCCATGATAGATCACATATTCAATAAAAATCATTAATATGAGTATGAAATCATATAATTTGGAGAGCTGATTTAATGAATGCATATATTGTTGTGATACTTGCAGCATATGTATTTGTGAAGTTTTAATAAGTACTAGTATAACAAAATTAGAGAAGAGATTAAATGAATGGCTATATATGCTGTCTTACAATATAAATTATTTGTATGCAATTAACTATTTCCATATACAAAGTTAATTATTCTTACCACACTTCATCAATATTTTCTAGCTTATCATTTAATATATTGAAAATATAATTATAAACGAGGGGATCTAACTTTCAACCCCTTATATTTTGAATAGAATCAGAGAAAGAAATGTCAAAATTTGGATATATAAAACTTTTCCAAAGTGGAATTGGATATCCGGCCAATCTTATATTTTGAATAGGATAATATATAGGATTACAAAGTATATGGACTAATCTTTTATTTTTTGTCGAAAAGTATATGGATTAATCTAAACAAAGATATATAGACCTATTTTTCATTTTTATTTTGCTTGGAATGAAAACGGTATTGAACATAGGCCTCTTGTACATTATAATCAGTTTATCATGACGAATGTTATTGTTTTCCTGATAACTACTTGTAAATTTTGTTAATTTTACAACATTGGGGAGATAAATTTTGAGTTGCTCATGATTCATGAACCTCGTGTATCTTTTTTTTTTTTGTTGAGCAAAGAACCTCGTGTATCTTATAAGTTATAAGTTATAACTCACAATATACACTAAGAAAAAAAAAATCTAATCTTTCTAATAATTGATAGAATAACCAAGCTAAATTAATTGCTATCTTAAATCCAATTATGAGAAGATACAATAATATCACTATATTTATAATTTTTATTAATTTTATGATAATGCAGGAATATAGTTAATGGAAATTCAAACAGTTATCTTTTTTTCTTTTTTTGATCAAAATCCAAACAGTTGTTTAAAAGGATAAAAAATCATGAAACAACAACTTAAAGAACTACATCAATGAATAAATAAATATGTAAAATCGATCGTTAGTACATATCTAATATATATTCCTTTTTCTTAAGAAAAATCAACGATATTCTCTTTTTTAAATTAGGATTTCTTTTTGGGGTCATATAAATTAGGATTTAATATATTTTTCAAAGTCAGTGGAAAATTACGAGTAAGTGTGTGTACCTGGCAAGTACTCCTTCCCCGTACCTACTTTATCAAATACAAAATCCCCAAAATACCCTCACCTCAATATAAAATCCAAAACCTTCCCTCACCCTCCTTCACAAAAATCTCTCACATTCTCTCTCGAATCCTCACAAATCCGTTTCACCAATCAGCAAAAGTTTCTCTCTTCTCTCTCAAATCACAACTCGAAGAAGATGAAGCAACTAATCCGCCGTCTCTCTCGCGTCGCTGATTCCGCTCAATACAGTCTCCTCCGCTCCGATTCACAACGACCTAGCCGCCGTTCCGAATCATTCCTCCGTTCTTCCGTGTCTCGCCGCTCAAAGAAGCAAACCTCTTCGGTTCCTGAAGGACACGTACCGGTCTACGTAGGTGACGAGATGGAGAGGTTCGTCGTTAGCGCCGAGCTACTAAACCATCCGGTTTTCATCGGTTTACTAAACCGATCTGCTCAAGAGTATGGATACGAGCAAAAAGGAGTTCTACAAATCCCTTGCCATGTACTTGTCTTCGAACGAATCATGGAATCGCTTCGTCTTGGACTTCCGGTGCCGATTGATGTTCAGGATCTAATCGGTGACGAGACGAGTTGAAGAAGAAGCTTTTTTTAGAAGGAATCTTGGTAGTTAGACAAGTATTTTTCTAGATCTGGTTTTTTTTTTCAGATACTGAGTCATCATACTTCGTCGTTTTGATGTAAATAGGTATAATTTTTTTTTTGTTTCATGGATCCAAAAGTGGAAGAAGAGACGAATTTAGGGGTTTTCTTTTTCTGTTTAAGATTTGTTGTTGCAAAATTTCCTAATTTTTTCGCCGGTTTTAAGAATCGGTTTGAAATTCTTGTGAAGTTTTTATATGGAAATATTTGCATCAGTTTGGATCTTAATGTATGCATAATTTCTGGTTTGTATGATATGATTCCAGTTTTTTTTTACGGATTGAGCTAAAGAAAAAAGGAGAGGATATTGATGTTTCACCGGGATTATCGGAAGGGTAAAATTGTGAATGTGACTATAAAGGATATGATAATCTGTAATCTGTGGCCGTTACTAGAATATTTTTTACCCGTTACTAACTCTTTCTAGTAGTTATCTGTTATTTTTGGTTAGCTTCTTTTTTTTTTTGTAAGAGAAATATATATTTTGCTAAGTAGTATAATGCCAAAAATTCATAGTAAAATATAAAAAACAAAAATTGAATTTCGTGGAAAAAGTAATAAAACCATGTGGGTTTTGCATCTGTAGTTACATTCTGTCAGATCCAAAACACAAGCTTCATTCCAAGCCCAATATAGTAGATGCCTAGGCCACAAAACTATATTGAAACTAACATTTGTTTTCTTGAGTTCTAGTGACTAACCATAACCGAATCACCTATGAATTCGATTTACATGGTGAATCTTCAGCTAGTAGACAATTGGGTTGGTTACAAAAAGGGCAAATACTAACACTTTTTCATAAATATGTGATCTCACTTTATTTGAACCGTAGGCACATCTAATTCACACATTACACATAATGGTTTAGACATTTTTTTAGGTAACCTTCGTTTTATGTTTAATCAACTATGATTATGTAAAAACACCAGCACATGTTTATACGACCCGAGTGACCAACATGTGGAGGTTTAACTGTCCCACATCTATGGATTCTCAATGATAATATGTATCCATATATAGTCTTCGTAGTTTAATCAAAATTAATTATTAGTTGTGTGACCAATCTGAGGAATTGGTAATAATGGAGTTGGGAATTTTCGTCCATTTATATGATTTCCCATGTTGCATCACCTGCAGCACCACATGCCTACTTATATACTCCATGTAGCAATTCACAGTTAATCATTAATTTCTTGTTTCTTTTGTTTTGTTCTATTTATTGTCAATTAATAAGACTTCTGATCCAACTATCGAATGCAACCATAAATTTTAAAAGGTCGGTGTATACACATTTACATATATAGTGATATACTATATTATAGATCTAATACTTGAATATAATTAATGCAGTCAAAGTCATAGAGAGCCATGTAGATGGATCTATATACATATCTTAAATTTCGTTAGAATATAATGAGTGATAGAATTTTGATTATAGTTGGTTCTATGGAAACAACTATATTATTTTGTTTACTCTAGTTAATTGTCATTAATTATGACGACTTTCCAAGTGTGAATTCGAATTTTTCTTCATGACAAGAAAAAAAGTCATCCTTTCATTTATTCTTTTTTCATTATAATGTACCTTTCAATAGGAAACATACATGTGTATGATCAAGAACTATCATAAAAAAAAGAACTCATTTGTTATTAAGATTCTCTTGATATGAGGTCGAAATGACAACATTTTAATATGTACTGTTATTTTAAAAAGGAACATTCGTAAATTGGAGTACTTGGGCAGCTCATTTCAAGTATGAATTGGATTGTTGCTTCGGAGGATACGGCTTACCTCATCATGATTGATTCAATTCTTCAAATTACTGTTCAATCTCTTTGGGATCACATTGTGATTATACTTATCATTATTCTTTAATAAATATGGTATTCTATAAATGCTTTTTGTCCGTGACACATAATAAGAAACGAAAATGATATTTTAGACATCGTCAATTATTTGTGGGTAGAAAAGTAGTAATCCCGACTATTCCATATATGAGTGAGCGACTCTTCTATCACATAAGTCAACACACGAATAACATTTTTGAGCTGTATGCCTAACAAGTTTATGGCATTCCTCAAATTCGATTTATTTATCATGTATATCTTTTCAACCAAGTATTTGGAAGGATTTGTGTTAAAATGACAAATATCATGTTGTTTAATCATGAATTTTAAATTTCTTGTAAAATCTGGTGTTATTGGATTTCTTCATTTTCAAGATAATTTATGGTGTTTTATGTTTTTTTTTTTTTAAAATTAAGATCCAAGTTTCATGGTTTTAAGTGATATTTTTAGAGATTTTAATAACACATCATTCCTTACAAAGTTACAATTCACCTAAAATCATCTGAAAACTTATCAAAAACTCAAATGATTCAACACATTGCAGTGAATATAACTATAGAGTTGTGCATTTCCTTAATTAGAAGACAATTGCTCAAGATTACATTATCCATAAGTTCCATACAAAAAAAGAATGAGATAAGAAACCAAGTGTTCTTGGTCTAGTGGTTGCCACTTGTGGAGGAGTTGCCCTGTTGGTCTAGGCCAGGGATCGATTCCCCGCAAGCGCGCAATTGCTAGATCTCCACTTGGCCACTACGCAATTTATCTGCGGGGCGCAGCGTCCCAGACCACCAGTTCCGGGGGGCCCTTAAGTGGAGGCTTAAAAATCCCAGGTACGCGGGCTTAGGCCCAGTGGGCTAGTCGGATCACTGTGTGGTCTGGACACTGGGTTATCAAAAAAAAGAATGAGATAAGACAAACATTGGGACTAAATATGGATGGGCTTCCGTTAACAATCTTTTTTATAGAACGTTACCTCCCTAAAGAAGATTATTTTAGGACCCAAATTTGGTTTCAAAGCCCATAAAGCTCCGAATGCGGCCCCAAACGACTCTTTGAAAACCCTATTCTTTAATTTTCTTATTATTATTTTCAGTTTCCAAACGAACATAGACTATTATCAAGCTACAGGCGTAAACAATTCAACCGTGGGGTAGTCACGTGGAGGTTAAACGACATCGTGTGTTCTGTGCAAAGAAGACACAACAATACAACATAAAAGCTCACATCACAGATTGTTCTCTAATTAAATGAATAAATATACAAGTTGAAGTTGGAAGGTAATGTATCATGCATTATTATTCTACGCTTATATATGTTATAAGTCCTCCCTCGCTTCACATTTTGTTTATTTTTATTTTGTTCCACAATTTGTTAAAACTTCTTTTTTCAGTTTTTTATTTTCTTTACCTTATAAGCCCCCTTTTTTACATTTGTTTTAACATGCAGTTGAATCTAAGTTAGTTTTTTTTTACAGGTTAATATTGCGCTGTCATTCCATAAGTGGACCATAAGTTAAAAAACCAAATCGTACATGATTACTCATTCTACTTTTAGAATAAAATCTTACAAATTTTAACGCCTCTCTTAAAATGCATACTTTGTGACAAAATGAAAAAGGAAAAAAAGAAATATATTATTCGTCTTTGCATAAATAACATAAAGTCAAGTTGCAGATCTTATTATAGTCAATGGTTATAACTAATAGTCAATATTCAATATTTACTTTTGTGAACAAAGAATAATGTTTTCCTTTTTGTCTATAAAAATGAATCAAATTTTTTGTTTAAAGCAAGACTTTTTTTGTTAGTCTGAAAATATAACTTTAAAAAACCAAAATTTCACAGTAAAACAATTCAAATGAGCGAAAAAAAAAACATAATTAGTTAATATGATTTAATTTGAACCTTCGAGAATATATTTGAATATGAAAAGAAAGTTGATGTAGATAAAGAAAAGCCAGTGCAAGAAAAAGGAAAAAAAATTGTACAAATATAAGAATTAAGGCTGTCAAATGAAATAAAAAGGTCACGATTAATTAATAGAAAAGTATATACTGTATGCAGAATAGATACTCAATTCTATAAATGAATTAATTCAAGTAGGTTTACTCGTACATGAAATAGTGGCATGACCCTTGTGGTCTCATAATTAACCCTTATATATAAGATGATGATGATGATGACAAAAGTACATACCCCATAAGATTCTCAAAAATTAAAAGTGGGGTGTGATGGGGAAAAGAAGAGCACCATGCTGTGACAAAAGCCAAGTGAAGAGAGGGCCATGGAGTGAAGAAGAAAGTGAAAGACTCAGATCTTTTATCCTTAAAAATGGTCATCACAATTGGAGATCTCTTCCCAAACTCGCTGGTCAGTCCTCTAATCTAAATGCATGCTTCTCTCTCTCTTTCTCATTTTCATGTCTAATTTTTTCTTTTGTTCGCATAATTCTGATTGAAGTTTCATTTTGCGACTTGTCTATCTTTCTATTGTTCATCTGTCATTCTAATTCTCAATACTTTGATTACTGATCGAATCTTTCCCGTGAAACAATGTTTCGATAGACTCGTTACTCGTTACAGTTTTATAGATTTAAACAATAAAAATTACGAATGAAAAAATGTTTTGGTTTTTGATATCCGCAAGGTATCAAAATGTTGTTACATTTTTCAGTTATAGTTTTGGTGATTATTTCATAAATTTTGGTATCTTTTTCTTGAAGGAATAAAATCTGAGGAGAAGTTTGACCACAATTTGTAACCTTCGTGTTTATTATTTCTTCTAAAAGTTTCTCATATAAAATCTTCCGGAAGATGGAATGAAATCTTGAAATAGATGGTTAAATTTCTCAATTAAAAATTAATGTAATGAAAAATAAGTAAAAATATGGTGAAACCTTATGCAGCATCTGATGAAATAAATATTCATTTAATTATTTAAAAATTAATGATGAATGATGGAGAAAGACAGAGAGAACCCAATCAAATGTGCTTTTGCAGTGTATGTAGTATTGAATTGGCTAAGTTACTCGGTTTCTTATCTTCACTTTTGCCTTTTTATATGTTAAAACTTGTAGTTTTGGTGTTCAAGATTAATAATGTTGAAATTTGAAACAAAATAGGATTGATGAGATGCGGAAAGAGTTGTCGTCTAAGATGGATAAACTATCTGAGACCAGGTCTCAAACGAGGCAACTTCACCAAAGAGGAGGAAGATACCATTATCCACCTTCACCAAACTCATGGAAACAAGTAATCATCTCTCCCTTGTCTCAAAACCATCATCTCATTATCTAGAAACATTTATAATTATGCAAAAAGTAGTACTATAATGATCAGTGCATTATTTGGTCTCAGGTGGTCTAAGATCGCATCCCACTTTCCGGGAAGGACAGACAACGAGATCAAGAATGTGTGGAACACTCATCTCAAGAAGCGATTGATGAAGAGAAATTCATCATCTGATGTTATCAATCATTCAGTGTCCTCTACCTCTTCTTCTTCTTCCTCAATCTCATCAATCTTGAAGGATGTTATTATTATCAGCGAGATGCCTAACCAGGAAGAGGAGTTTGAGGAAATCTTGGTGGAGCAAATGGCATGTGGATTTGAGGTTGATGCACCACAATCACTAGAATGTCTCTTTGACGATAGCCAGATTCCTCCTCCTATACCTAAACTAGACTCACTAGAAATCCATGGGAAATCATCAGATCACGAATTTTGGAGCCGACTGGTTGAACCAGGGTTCGATGATTACAATGAGTGGCTCAGCTTTTTGGATAACCAAACTTGCTAGAACACACAAGGAGTTGATCCATCATGTCTTATTGTTGCATTGTCTTTTTCTTCTTCTTTCTTTTAGATAAATTTAGAATACACAGAGAACACACTGTTTCTCTAAAAGCTAGAACTTGAAACTAGAATGTATACGAGTCAGAAGCAGATGTTGGAATTATTATTAAACCGGACGGTGAGGATAAAATCATATTTGAGATTAGATATTTTGAAGAACTTTGGAAACACCAAAAACCTACGAAGCTGTCACTTTCTGCTTTACAAAAGATTTTGCCCATCAAAAGTGGGTGGTTAAGAAAATGATCATCCACAATCGTCAGCATTTTCTTCTGCAAGCAGGTTTTTACTTTTACAAAAAGGCTTTTACTACTCTATTTCTGAGATATCCGAAGCTAATGAGCAATCATCAAGGCCTGAGGTAAAGAATGGATCATACCATTGTGAACAACTTATCATCTCTATCTCTTCTGAAACCGCCTTCTCCTCCTTCTGCTCCTCATCCTCCCTATCAGCAGGTGTGAAATCAAACTTGAGATTCGGGTCATTTGGCCTAACCCATGCCACTTCCAATTGCTCTGCCAAGAGTTTGCGGTGTTTGCTTTTTGTAGACTTGGCTGAGGCTGAGTCTGAGGCTGAGTCTGAGGCAGATAGCTTGTGTTTCCCCAGGGACTGTGTTTTAGTGCCTGTTCTTGACTTCAGATCATTGGCTGGGAACGTGTTTGAAGCCCATCCAAATGAATCTTCATTACAAGCATTAGCAGCATTCCTACAAACAAGACCACCGATTCTTTAGTGACTATTACTGCACTCAAAACTATCAGAAGAAAAAAACAAATATATCAGAGTTCCAAACCTGTAACGGTTCTCTGCAGCAACCCTAGAACCTTTTAGAACATCTTCCCCTGGGGGATCGTTCACATAATTTAATGAATCTGACCCATCAATGGACAGACTTATCATGGGTGGAAACTGTGTCAGGGAATCATCTTTGCCAAGTGGGAATTCCAAGGTTAAGTCTAATCCCACTTTATTGATAGGTTGATTCTCCTGCAACCTAGAACGGGAAACAGTATTTTCTGGCTGACTCGTGCCGGAATCCTGGAGAGCAGATTCTAACAACTTTCTACTTAAGCTGGTGACCTTCATTCCCTGCCAAGGCTTTCTAGCTAAATCTTGGGTGTGATTCACAGAACCCATAAACTGTCTGTTGAAAATAGGACTGTTTAAGGAGAGCATTTTATCATTCCCAGTGCGGGTCGACGTCCTCCAAATTGATGACAGCAGGCAAGAAAAATGTTTTTGGAGGAGCATCTCTGTATCTGGCTGCTCAGCTGCAACATTTAGGAGTGTCCGAATATTTTCCTGCACCAAAAATGTGATATTAGTGAAAACCATTTCCTTTCCACTATAATCTTCTTGAGTTGATTAACAGAACCCATTTACAAGACAAATTCTAATATATCACTAATTCATCACTACTTAAATGCAAGCTAGTGAGTAGCTAACCTAAAGCTATCCCATAATCAACCTTACCTCAGTGACTTTAAGGAGAGCCTTCCCAGAACCTGTGTTGACATTCTTCTCGTTCACTGCACTGTCGGAAGCAGACAAAATATGTCGTTGGATAAGCTCTCTATATCTCTCACAACAATATGCCGGATGGCGATACCGTCCTCTGTAAGCTCCACCAGCTGTCATTCCATAAAGAGTTCCGCTAACCAAATTCCAGTTAGGCCCATATTCATGAACCATGGCACACAATATAGCATCTTCCTGAGGCAACCAAGAATCAGGCGAGGGAACACAATCTCTAGACCACAGATTTCCTTTCTTCAATTTCTCTGGCTTGATCATAAGAACACGCTTTATTGGCATGGAAGTGATGAATTTTTTCCCTATAGTTTTACCCCTGTTCGTTAGTTTCGATTCATTATCAACAACCATACTGTCAGACGGCTTTGATGGTTCCAGTTCCTCAAGTAGAGCACTTGTTTGCTTATATTTGATATCTGAATTCGGAAGAGACTTCTTGTGCTTCTTTGCTTTCTTCTGCGAGGTCTTCTCTTCTTCAGTGTCAACAATTAAACCTCTTTTCTTGCCTTTCATATGCATCCGCGAAAGTGGTGTAACCATATCTGAGTCACTGCTACTCACATAGCCGAATTCTTCATTATCATCATCAGTTGAATCTTCAATTTTCACGACTGACTTCACATGTCTTGATTCGGCAGCCAGTGATCCTTTCTTCAGGGATTTATATTTGGCTTTCTTCGCCTTTTTCTTCTTCTTAGGCTTCAGTACATGCGCAATTTCGTTCCTGAGAAAAATAATGGTTCAAATCATCTACTTGTTTTGATTATTATCCCAGTAACTAGAAATGAGTGCTTGTTTATCAATTGCTGACTTATAATTTTTAACAGCATTGTCCTAGATAATCATACTGACAATGAACTGTGTGGGTTCAAAAGTGTCTTACTGTGTCAAATCCATTTCAGCCACCTCTGCAGCTTCCCTCTCTCTAGCTTCATTTTCCAAATCTTCCATCAACTACAAACATAAGTAAATACGTGACCAAGCTGAAATGCAGGACATGGTAGATGCACTAATTGATCTCACCTGGTGCTGAGCTAAGACTTCTACTTGCTGCCTGTATGCCTCGGTTGCAAAATCAGCATCCCATTCTGAAAATAGTATCAACATCTCATGTGAGCTAAAAACCAGCCCATAAATTAACATTTTACAAAGTTACATCATCGGCAAGGTTCATTGTCAGTTAAGTAAGAATACGAGTTAAATTAATGAACTGAATGAGCAAAAAAGGTTACACTTACTCTCGTAAACAAGAGGCTCTTCCCCATCATCAATCTCAGCTTCCATTTCCTCCTTGTACTTCTCAATGTGATCAAGTTCCCATTCTTTCTCTTCAAATCCCGCTTCATTTTCCATTGCAGCCTCAACAATGATGGGGTCCCAAAGCTCTAAAAATCTAATGGCATATCTATCAATAGGACGTAGCTGATTCTCAAAAGATGAGATAGCTTGTCCAGCAGCCGCGGCTGCTGCAGCCATTTGCTTGACATCATCTAATACATCAGTGTCATCTTCTTGGCTTGAAGTAGTGATTACAGCTTTCTCATCTCTGATATCACTATGTGACAATGTAATTTCTTCTTTGGCCAACCCGGCTGCAACTAAACCTTGATCAGCAGGCTCATCAGCCTTTATGTCATCTTCATTTACTAGCTCATCGTCTTCTGGTCTCTCTACAGGTTCTTCTGTAAACTCTTGATTGTCCACAGCTTCTTCTTGTTCTACTCTTTTAAGAGCCATATAATCTGCCTCATCTTCTGCCTGCTTTAAAGCAGCTTCAACATCTGCATTTGACAGAGGTATCTCCGCCCCGCAATTTTTGCTTGTTTCCTTTTCATCCTTTGTAGTCAGAGCCTTATGCCCAGAGAACAATTCCATGGGATCGAGCTTCTTGAAAAATTCGGTGTTATACTCACCGTTTTGAATTACAAGGTTATCAAGCACACGCTTCTGGTTTGCTTTCTTTAAGATATTCTCCTCAATGGTGCTCTCACTTATCAACCGGTAAATATGCACTTCACGTGTCTGACCTATCCTGTGGCAGCGATCTTGAGCTTGTTGATCCATAGCAGGATTCCAGTCACTGTCATAGAATATAACTGTGTCCGCACCCACAAGGTTGATGCCAACTCCCCCACTTCGGGTTGACAAAATGAAAAGAAAGATCTTGGGATTTGTATTAAACCGCTGCATTAATGTCTGCCTCTCTTCTGGCGGAGTAGAGCCGTCAAGACGCATGTAGGTATAACCATATAAATTAATGAAAGCCTCCAAGACGTCAAGCATCTTGGTCATTTGCGTGAATATCAACGCTCTGTGACCCCCAAATTTTAATTTCCTCAATAACATAGCAAGCTCCTGCAGCTTACCACAATCAAACTGTATCAGTCGCCTATCTGGAAAATATACTTGTCTCCTAACGATTGCAGGTCTAATCGGAGATAAAAGAGGTGACAATAAATCTGTAACTTTCTCCTTGTACGATGGAGTAAGAAAAACAGGAGAGTCACTTTTGCTGCACCAGCAAGCAGGTGAAGGCACTCGTGCAGCTGGAATCGCAAATGTGAAAGCTTCAACTAGCTCAATCATCTTTTGAAAACGCTCGATCGGTGAAAGAACTATGTCAGCGAGGAGTGAGGAATACATGTAAGATGAACAGTTGGCTTTAAGATGGTGTATATCATCAAGAGGACCCTTAATGGTCAAAAGAGTTCTTAGAGATGTAGAGTAAGTCGGCTTTCTCTGGCATCTCAAAGAATTCCACCATGCAATGGCTGCTGCCCGATCCTTAGTTTCTTTAACCCTTTCCTCAAAGACAGCCTTACGAATTTCTTCAAAAATATTTGTCCCTTGCAGATTTTTGCGGTTTTTCAAACTCAAAGGGATTGCTTCTATATCATCCTTCAAGTTGACACGCTGTTTGATTAATTCTGAGGGTGTTGAAATAGCTTTTATCTCATCTCCTTCCCAAGAAGTCATCGAAAAATCAAGATGGGTGAATAAGAATCCCAAAGCCTCAAGATCGACCTTGGAAAACGGATTTTCCAAAAGCAGCGAACAGATTGTTGAACTCAACTGCACATCAATGCCAGCCATATCAAAAGAACTTACAATAGGACGACCCTCAAAGAGATCAGGATGATTACAAACTTTCCGCAACTGCATTATGATACTTATCATCCCAAAAAAGCTTCCACTGTTAAGCGTAGCCTGTGTTTCTGTGCTCGCTATGAAGTCCTCATACAAGTTCCGCTGCCTCTTAGACAGTCTACAGAAAATAACATGCTCATGTTTCGAAGGAAGTTGCTTCTCCACATCCCTTTTTAAGCGTCGTAGAAGGAAAGGACGGAGGACATTATGTAAGCGATCAATAACTTCTTTGTTGATTTTTTCTTGTCCCTCAACCATCCCTGCTATCGGGTTACAGAACCAATCTTTGAATTCCTGGTGAGACTGAAAAACATGTGGCATCAGAAAATGCATAAGTGACCACAATTCCATAAGATCATTCTGCAGTGGTGTACCAGTCAACAAAATTCTGCGTTTAGAATTGAAGTTCAATAGTGTCTGCCATCTCTGAGACTTCCAATTCTTAATTAAATGGGCTTCG